AAATGTCAAAGGAACAAGAAATTTACAGATTGTGGGTAGAAAATAGGCAGAACTACTGTGGAATATAGGTTAATGGTACAGTAAAGTCCAACTAATTGCATATACTAGAGCTTTTGAAGAAATACACCTTTTTTCTTCTGGCAGGAATTTCAATGAAGATGTGTGGTTTTTTTCATTACCAACTTTATTGCAGGAATTTAAGATTTTTTTTTCAATACCCCCTCAACTGAATTGATGGAGAACTTTTCTAACAGAAACATCAGTCGTTTCTAATAAAAGTGACTTTTAAAAATTTTTCCAAAAACCTTTCACAATTATTTCAACAGAGAAGTTTTCTGTGCATGCTCTAGTTATTGGAAATTTTTTCAAGGATTTTACTTCTCAACTGAGGAAATGTGTGCTGGTGAAGAGATTGCTTATTGAGTTTATTCACTATAAGATTCAAATCCCCACTACTTCTTTTGAGTTGTAAATTCTCAGCAGCCTTTGTCTTCCTGTGTCAACATTACTTTAGTGATTTAATGCAAGTCTGGTAGTTTAAGCAGGCCTCTGTCTGTGGGTGAGCCACTTGCCATAACTTCTAAAAACCTCCAGTTGCTACAAGAACGTCTTGTTGTTTCTTGCCTGTTTTTCATACTTAAATACAAAACTGGACTCCATTACCTCACACCATCTGTGATCTTAAGTGGCTTTGCGTCTCTTCTCAATGGGGGGTGTTGGGAGTGGTGATCACCTAGCAGAAAGTATCACTGAGGTGTTTTCCCTGCCATTAATCAATCTAGTCTGTTTTTAAGAGCTAAAATGTAACTAAACATCAACTGCACAAGCCGCCCTTGTTTCACTGGGTGCTTTACTGTCTGTCTTGCTGCACTATACCTCAATTCCCAGCCCTTTAATTAAGATGAAAGCTGGTCTTTTAAAAAGAAGTGAGCAATACATTGCATGTCACCACTTCATTGGTAGTGAAACTACCCATCACTCTTCTGAAATGAAAAAAAAAAACAACCCCTGTTCCTTGACACTGGAATTTAGTGAGGCTCAAAGGTCTATTACCGCAGCTGCTGTCTGATGGGTTTCCTTCTAAGGATCGGCTTGCTTGGCCTGGCCCTCAGCATGGTCTGACTGGTCCCAGTTTTAGCTTGCTTCGGCCACCCTGGGAAGAGTTACTAGAACTGTTCTTAACTCACTTATTTAAATCTCAAGCTATTATTTATTTGGATATAATATTGTCTAGATCATGTTTTTCTTACTGTTGTCATTGAACTCTTGTAATAGTCCTGTATTCAGATTTTAAAAGCTATATGGAGATCCTCATACCAAAATAAAATAATAGAGGTTTTACCTGTGTAATCAATTTTACTAGGCTTACAGAAAAAAACACGTGCACTAGTGCTACGCTAATATACATAATGTATTTATATTTCTTAAGGGAGAGACAGGCAACTACAGCAGCAGTTAGCAGTTCCTGTATTCTGTGTTTAAGTATTTTCACCTGCCGCGGTTGCAGGATACTCTGTACACATGTTCCATCAATCTGTTAAAGATGGTGTCAAATGGCCTTGAGGATGTGTTGTGTTCTGATGTCTTTCTAATGCAAAGCACAATTTGCATAGAATCCAAGGTAGTAATTTATGATTCAGCTATTTGTGGACAGATGAAGTGGATATTGCAGGCACTTTTTTATTTGTTGTAGTTGTTAAAATGCACAATTCCTCTTAGTTTTAAGGTAGTGAAATGAAAATCATCAGAGACAGGAACTTCTAAGCTACCCTACCAGTTGTACAGTGAGGCACATTCTGGAATACCAAATCCCATTTTGGTTGTCCTTAGCCTTTCTTTGTTTAGAGGCAGGAAGAGTATAAATCCTGATTTACATATTTCTGTTTATACCTAGTATACTTAAAAATGTAGTATTAAATGACTGAAGTATCCTTCTCTCATGACTGAAGTCCTGTCTCTCATTCTTCCTGCTCCCTTCCTCATTTATATAATCAATAAAACAAAACGTGTAATTCTTTGGCTTTGCTGCCATCATGGCCTGGCAGATGCTTTTTGAACTGAGGGCAGATTTATAGTACTAAGCTCCTCTGAAGTCAGGCTTATAAGATCATCCCAGTGACCTCCTGTTTTGTTGACAATTAACAGGTTTTTACCTTTCCTTGATGTTTTAAATTTGTTATCTTTCTTCTAATCATTGGTCCCTATTGTCCTTTTGCTATGGCATTAAATTTCCTTCAGACTTATTGCTGGAGTTTTTATCTTTTTTTTTTTTTTTTCTTTTTCTATTCCCCTTTAGAGCAGTGATGGTGATGCCAAGGTTGCATCATCTTTTCCATGTTACAAATTTTGCCTTCTGCAAGCATTGTGCAGTGGAAATTGGATAGGAGGGGAAGAACAAGGAAAGAGAAAAGGCAAAGCACAGAATGGTTTGTTTTGAAGAATTTAGTCTCTTGAGAGTGATTTCTTCCTCGAAACAGACAAAAAGCCTTTTTCTCAGGGGAGGCACTTGGGACTGGATTTTACTCTGGACATCACTGGAGATTTCTCTGAAGGGGATACAAATGTGAATGAAGGGTAGGTCAGATTAGTGGGGAGAGGGGCCTGGTGTGAATCAGATTTGTGTCGGCTGAAGTCACTGAAATATACAGATGTAAGGAATCTAAAATTAGATCAAAGGCAGCTTTGGATGGTGTTTCATGCACTACATATGTGAATTTGAATGCAAATGTCAAGGGGGTGGTTAGATATATTCTTTTTTTGCCGTAGAGTATAACACAAATAGCCAAACATAACCTTGGGGAAGATACTGTGACTTCAGCTTCCCTAAGTTTATAATGACTGTCCAAAATGGAATCCTGAAGTCCATTTGTCTGAAATGAACAAGATAATCATAATCAAGTTAACTCTTCAGATACATGAACAACAAGATGATTAAAAGGGAGCAAGTATACCTGGTAGAGTGAGCAAAAATTAATATTTTAATTGGTGTTAAAGATGTACACATCATATACTTTATTTTGAACAGTCTATGGAACAACCTACACAGAGGCTGTTTTCAAAGAACTCACAAAAAATGTGGTTTATATTAACCACAATGCAAAACCAATTAAGGGGGTGTTGCACAAACCTGCTTTTCATGTGGCTTATTCATACCTTTCCTTAAAAATTACAGACCTGCTCTGTGCAGTCTTTAGTCTAGCAAAGTTCCCTGTGATGTGAAGTTTTTGGTCTAGATAGTGATTTATTTATTCATTTATTTTAAGATAAGCTCAGATCTTTTTAATGTATTTTTTTTATGTTTTACTCTGTACTGTACACAATTAAGATAATGATGAAAAAACCCAAAAGGTGGTAAATGTGTAAGGAGAATCTTGCACTGAAAGCTCATTAGTGGCTTCCCTTTTGGGCAGTTTTATTATATGTACCTAGGCACTGTGTACTCACCCTGTGTCAGTACAACAGTTTTTCTTGCATCGTACTGAAAAATACTTTAGTTTTTTCATTATTTACTAGTATTGGGAACCAAAATTGCTGGAGAAATACTTTCCTCTATGTACACAACTTATATCCTGTTTTTGTGATCTAGAGGATTCCTGCCTTTAAAAGCTGAGATGTTTCTGTCTCTGATGCTGCCTTTTCTAGGAAGCATTTCAGAAGGGTAGTCCCTTGCAACTGAAGAAAAATTAAGAAGCCAGTCATCACCTCTGCTGAGAGCTTTGTACCTACCTAGAAAGAGAGCTTGGAACTTACCCAGAACAGCACTGATGTGGTCCATGGTAGTGTGGTTTATGCTGAGTGCGTGGCAGGATTCAGCAATATATGGAGACATGATTGTCTGCTACATACTCAGAATAGAAATTATATTCCTAATTTCCTATTTCTAGGCCTAGAATTTGGAACTAAATAACCAGAGAATTTCTTCACTTCGTAGCTTCAAAACCTAACCTGAGCTGTTCCTTCTCACTTATCCTTGGATCCCATCTTATTTCCTAAGAGACCATTAAGATTACTGTCTATTATTTGCTAATTCATGGACTTAGCATTTTTATAGCCTATTGATTTTCAGTCTTTGTTTTCAATTTAATTGAGTAAAAAATGTTCACTTTAGAACTTAAGCAATACAGAATTAGGAACCACAGAAATAAGCAGGATGAGAGTGAAATAAGTAAAATTGATTCAAAATAGAGGTATCTCCAGAGCATCAAAGTTTTATTGAGGCAATCTGCAGTGCCATAATACTAATTTATTTAAATGTTGTTTTCCGTACAGTTCTTTTGTAACTTCAGGGGAATGAAAGAGATATTATGCCTTATATTAAAGTTTCTATAGCAAGGAAGGACTTGAGAGAAGAAAATCTGTACATGAGTGGTTTTCCATAGATGCCACTAATTATTATTTGATGCCAGTGAGCTTGCAGCTTTTATAACATCATGTGTTACGGTAGCTGCTAACAAATAATGCTAATAAAAATACAGATGGCTTGGTTGCCATCTGCACTTTAAGATTCTGCTGCGAATATGTGATTAACCTTCTGTCAGCACTTCTCAAAATATGTTTTTGCTCTATCACAAGCTTTCCTTGTATCCTCACTTCCACCCCTCACCTCATCCCCTGCTTGGAAACATGCTAACAAACCTGAGGTTTTTATAGATGTCTTACCTGTCTTAATGCTTTAAGCCTTTGTGGAGGATAAAGGGAAATATGTTGGGATGTTATGTTTCTGTACCTTTCACATTACAAAAAACAGACTCCCAAAATGGCTGGTTTTGAAAGGCTGGAACAGATAATTAATTCCTAAGTGGGTGTTGAAGTGGAAACTGTCAGGCCACAGCTTTCCCAGCTTTCACTTAATCATTAGAAAGTTGTTCTCTGTTGTTTTTGCTGACTGTAATCCCTTAGAGAGAATATAAAACTTGCACCATCCAGCAGGGAATTCCACTCCTTTAATGACTCAGGCTCTGTGTTGACTCACTTTCACTCCCTGTTGTTGTTTCGTACAGGAAAAGCCGTACCAGTGTTCAGAGTGTAACAAGGCTTTCAGTCAGAAGCGAGGCCTAGATGAGCACATGAGAACCCACACCGGAGAGAAGCCCTTCCAGTGTGATGTGAGTTGATCAATCCCTTTGTCTTCCTCACTTCAGTGCTGAAGCAGGACTTAATTGCAGTGAGACTATGGCCTTGTGTCAGTTGACTGTGGCATGAAGTTACACTTCATATGGTCTTTGATTGCCTAAGTAATGAAAGACCATTCAGGGAATTGCATATACCCTCTTCAGTTGCCAAGAGTATTGCACATCCTTTTATTTTATGATTTTGGATCCCTTAAGAGTTATTTTCACCATTATTAATGCCGTTTGGATGTAATGAGTTACAAATTCATACTGCTTGGGTTCCTGTATAAATTGTGTGGCAGGTTGACAGTTGAATATTAGCTTGTACAGGAAAACGTATTTAATTCAACAGATGCAGTCTGAATGCTTCTGATGTTGAATGACACAAAAAGGAATTGAGAATTTTCAATTTATGTTAGTGAATCTGGTCTGATATTTTTAACATCTGCTCATAGGTTGAGGTTTTGTGAACAATTTGTGGGTGCTGTGTATGCTTGCAGTGCTGAAAAGCAGCATATCACATTACAGTTCATAGATCATTGTCAAGTACCTTTCATTCAGCATACCCTATCCTGTATGCAAGGTATCTCACAGCTTTTGGAAGGTAGGTTGGAAGTCTGAGTGTGCAGAAATTGTTGGAAAATATTGTATTTCAGAATTACCAAATGCCATCATTTATATTGTTGCTTGAGGATTTAGGAGAAGAGCATCTGAGATGGGTATAGAATAGGTGCTTTGTTTTGTGATACTAACTCCTAATGAACTAGTCACACGGGAACTACCAGCTTTCAGTTATATCCTCAGTGGCTCAATCTGAACAGTTGAAAATTTGTTCACAAATTTCTAAAATTAGATCCACAGTTAGAAAAGCTACTTGGCTTGAAAGTTGCAAGGGTCAGCTAGTTGATCTGGCTTTTAATAAACAATCTGGTGACATTTCATTGAGAATCAAGTGTATTAACTTAATAAAAACGTAATCTACAATGTTGTTTACAAGCCAGAAGATTTGCTGTATTCTTTTGAGATAATCTCAGCCTGGCTCTGGACAGTACCTTGAGGATTTCTCTAATTCCAAATAATTCTTAATAACTTTCCATCTTTCAGATTGCTATACTATTTATCATCTGTTGGCTACCTTGCAGTGTAAATGCAATTTTTCCCACAGTGTGGATCCAATATTCATTGGTCTTGGATTCACAGTGTGCTTTTTCAGACCAATTTGGGATGGTGGTTATACTTTATTCTCCTTTTTTTTTTTTTTTTTCCTTGTTTTAATTGAAAATACACTTTCCTGCTTCAACTGTTCCCTCAATTTTCCTCATTATTGGGTAGAACTATTTTCTTAAATCATAGTGTTTCTAGAAACAGCTGTACTCTGTGTCTAGTCCTAGTAATTCTCTGAGAATTTTTATGTCCCTTCATTTACTGGAGATTTTTTCTTTTATGTTTTACATTACTGCCATGTTTCACCAAAATTATTTTTCAGAGTTAGTCTTTTGCCAGCTGCACATTGCAGAGATTTATGACTTTTTGGAGTTTGGACATAAACAACAGTTGCCTCTTCTACTCATTCATATACTATTCAGGTGCCTGCCATGGTCTGCTGCTTAACTCACGCTTGGAGAGTGTTGAAATTTTTGTTTGCAATAGTTACTCCTTATTTCATCTAGACTCTACTTTGGCAGATACTGGGGATGTTACCCAGAGCAGACCATTCCTCCAGACCTGTCTCACACATTGCACATTATCAGATGCATCAGGAGAAGTTACAGGTAAAGCAGTAGTAGACAGAGAAAAAGTTACCAATGGGAGGCATTTATTGTTGGCTCCTCAGTACTGAACATGGCTTTTTACTCATTAAAGTATTGGAAGAGTCTGTAAGTCCAATTGCTAGACCTACTAAGAATCTTTTAAAGGTGAAAAACAGGCTATTTTTTCCATGATTAGCTCTTTTATCAATGTAGTCATACATGAAGCCATACAGAAAAACGAAAGTCTTCGGAGGATTGAGAGTTTTGGTCTTGTTTCCTACCTAGCATTAGAAACAGTAATAGAAACTATTCAGCTCTTTCTTCCAAATAACTTATTGACATTTGATGTCAGAATTTTCTTTGTTTTTTAGTGCCATTATCATTTACAAACAAGAATTTCCTTTAGTGCCAAATAACTGGAGAAAGAAAACTTTAGGCTATTACCAAAAAAAAAAAGTGTTTTATGGGCTCAAGAAAAGGCTTCACTTGACAACCAATATGAAATTACAGACCAATTTTTTCTGACTATATTTTTGCTTTAAATATGCATTAGACATTGCAGTACATGATTGTGCTACATGTAAAAGTAATCTGTGTACCCTGTTTAATGAAGGTGCTACAGACTATTTATGTGGCTATTTCTGCGTCTTCAGAGGCATTTTCAGAATTTGTTAATGTCTCAAAGCTCTTAACATCAGAAAGTGAATAACTGAAATTTGGAAATATGAAATCTGTTTTTTTTCCTAGTGTATTACATTCTGTCCCCTGAAGACCAGCCTGTTTTTCACTGGGAAGCCAGTTGAACTTAGTTGACTCAGAGACAACAGATTATTCTTTGGGGGCAGAAAGGTCAGCTACTGCCAGTCCTGGTTTCTTTCCAGTACAGTGTTTCTCTCTGTTCTCCCTTTAGTTGACCCTGCACTTTTTTTCAAATGTCAGTCTTCTCCATCCTCCCTACTCAATCAAAACTTTGATAATTTTGAGGAGATTGATTAGAGTTCAAGTGCAAATTATCAAGTGTGGTTTTAAATGCCAGTCTTCCTTCTAAAAGTGAAATATGAAGCAAACTCCTAAGACGAAACAACGCACAACACAACCAGTTTTCATGCCTAAGTGCAGCACGAGGTGTATAATGCCTTTAAGTAACCATCCTGTGCATTCCATTTTCTTTTTAAATAAGTTAGGTAGCAGAACATGCCAGAGACTTAAAGGAACAGCAGGACACATTATGCCAGTTACATGAGCATTATAAATGAAAAGATGTACTTCAAGACCGTGTTATAAGCTGTTTACTTTAAAAACAAAGAGGCACGTGTAAGAGATGCAACTCATACGTATCTTGAATGTGTGTTTATCCTTGATTGGCTTCCTGACTTTCAAGGAGCATTAGTGTTTACAAGTGTGTGATAATTCTAGCATCTTGAGACTTGAGAGCACACGTGATGGTTGTGATTAAATAAATGTTATGAGTTTTGCTTTGTGTGCTCTGTGGAAGATGAATAGAAAACGGTATTTAGCAGAACCAATGTTAAGACCTGAGAAGTGGGTGCTGTAAGTGACATTCACTGTCGCATAACAAAGGGTGTCTGTTGTTTGGGTCTGAATAAGGTAATTATACATTGAGGGGAAAAAGTTGGAGGGTTATGGTGACTGTATAAAAGTCCTTGGTATTACATCATGTCATAAATTAAAAATGTTCCATTGCAACAGCACATAGTGTTCTTGTCTGGGGAAAAATTATTGTGGGTACAAAACTTGCCTCTGACAATTGCCCTTTCAGTGATCATACTGTGGTTTTGCCTTAATTAGCATAAAAAACAATTACTGCAGGTCAAGATCATCTACTTGGGTAGTCAGCTCCGTTTTTCTGTCTTGGTTTCAAAAGGAATCAATAATCATTCAGTGTTTTCATTACTAGTTTGACACTAATATGAGTTTAAAACTTCATTTTCCTAAAGAGGGGTTGCACGGGGTTCCCTGAGTTTCCTCTGTATGGAAGGTACTTATATCTGGAATGATCCTGGAATTCTAAGATTACAAGCCTATGAATGTCCATTCTTATTTGATTATATGACCCTTGCTTATTTCATTTGTCAAATTAGGAGTATGCTTTCTAATTTTTTCTATCTTTTTATTCTGGGCAATTCATGCATACAGTATGTGTGTGGAGGGAAGGTGAACATGACAATATAACTGCATGATTTCAAGTGACTTGATGTCTTGCTTACAGATTCTTAATTTTTCATTCTAACTTCTCTTGGCTGAAGTTGTTCTCAACCTTTCACTTTTACTTCAGTACAGGAATTTTTATAAGAAGTGCTTGTTTTAGCATGGCAGAGTCCCTCATCCCTCTGTCCATTTATTCAAATGGCAGAATGAAATGGACTGCTTGGAGGAAAGGAAGCAGCACACCAGACAATGTAAAAAATTGCACATTTATTTGCAGGATGTCTTCTGTTTTCTTGGCCAGGTAGAGGAAGACTGGAACAGTTATGTTTCCTCTATAATATCTACTAACCTTTCTTGCTGTCTTCAGAGCCTCTCTTTTTCTCACTCCTCCCTCCTTGGAACTCAGCAATTTGAACTAATTTTTAGAGACTTGCAGATGTCATTCTGGAAGTCAGAAAGGAGATACTTCATCTGAGGTCAAATTGACAGAGACTTATGATGTTATGTAATAATTTTTGCTGCATCCCAGATAGAATAGATTTTAAAATCCCCACAGTATAACTGGGACATGTATTGCAGGTATGTGTGGCTGTGGCTTCAGTGATGTAACAGAAAGGGGCATTAGACATGCTTGAAGTTTTAAGACTTATTTTGTCTTGTCTTCACTGCCTTAGGTTTGTGATCTGTCCTTCAGCCTGAAGAAGATGTTGATCCGACATAAGCTGACTCACAACCCCAATCGACCCATGGCAGAGTGCCAGCTTTGCCACAAGAAGTTTACAAGAAATGACTACCTCAAAGTGCACATGGAGAATGTCCATGGGGAAACGGACAGCTAATTATGGCATGTGTGAGAAGAAGGATCTTGCTTTCCAAAGTGCTTCATTTGTATGTGTACAGACTCCAGACTTCTCACCTGTCTAATAAGCATAATCAGGAGAAACAACTGTAATGTGTTCATGTGTTATTTTCCCCACTTTTTAAAATATTCCAGTAGGATAAAATCTAAAGACAGACCAGTTTTACCTGAAATAAAGCATAGTTTGAAATAAGTTGAAGATAAAAGAATTTCAGGAAAATTTTTATACTTTTTTTTTTTTAAAAAAAAAGCTTTATAGTTCACCTTCTCAATTACAGCTTTAAAAACTTAGATATTAATAGTATTGCCTGGAAATCCTGGACATCTGGAACTGAACCCTTTGCTGTATGCAACTGTATTTCTGTATCTAAGCTTCAAGACTCCATTAAAATGCTTTAATTTGAAACCATGCGGAATTTGTCATTCTAATTGACTGCTGATTGCATGCAGGCATATTTTATTCAGATCCTAATTCTGCATGTTTGTTTGAGCATGATTTTGTCTCATTTTATTTACAGCTTTCTCATTACTAGACGATACTCGTTAACTTGAATTGGTTCTTGAGATGCCAAAACGTGGGTACAGAAATGGTGGAAATCTTTCACGTTAAGTATTCCTGTATCAGCATGGAGGAGGATGTATTTCTCCTGGTACGTGAAACAATACTGAAGTGCAAACTTAGAGCGATGTCCTTTAAGTACTATGTTAATACACATCATTGTGACTGGCAACTGGAAAGATATCTTAACAAAGTAGCTTGGACAGCTACAGTTGTCTGGTTAACATGTATTTGATTTCCTGGTAAACAGCTGGTTCCCAGAGCATTTCTTCCT